CTTGGCCTACCAGAAAAACAGGGTTAAAAACTGAAAGGCAGGACTCACTGGATCATCTCCAGAGGGAGAACATGGAGTTATGTACAGAAGTAGCTCAGCCGATGCCCCCTACAGGAAAGAAAGTGCTACAACTAAACTGAAATAAGTGTGAAATAATTTAATTCCCACAACTAGTCTACTAGGGCAGAGTTTCCCGCCATTGCAGAGGGGGTGCAGGAAGCCGTCTGGATGAATGAAAAAGAACTTTGTATGCGCTGGGTTTTTACCTTAGAATAGCCAACTGTCTGTTATTCCTATGTCAATTTGATACAGTAGGGGCTTCCACACTTCCCATATCTGTGTCCTCTGTCACTTTTATCAGCAATTAAAACTGTTTAATCCGTTGTTAACATGTGGTAGGCTGTTTTTCCGAGCCGCATTTAAACGCAACATGAGCGCTAAGACGCTCGCGCTGAGTTTACACCTGTGTGGCAGTGAAGGAGACCTGCTGCTGCTGAGCAGAGAGCTACTCAGGTGTGTTAGAATCATGGCAGCAAACCAGCAAAACGCAAAGAACTTTTCACAGTTTTTCCCCCAAACTAACAGACTGAGTTGAGTGAAGCTGTTGGATGCAGGTAAAGTTAGCTAAAAGATGACTAGCTAGCTAATATCAATACATCACCTTAAGCTTAACAAGTAGCCTGTAGGCTACCGATGTTATGTCCAGCTACGTACATTCATTTTGCCCCCAAAAGAAGTCGATTTCCCACCCCGCTCATTCTAGGGAGTCTCTAAGAACCCCCCCCACAAACGTTAATAGATTTCTAAACCTCAATGACTTTAAGAGTGAACGTTCTTCCTGCGGATTTTTAACTTGATTCTCCAAAGCTTTGGCAGCGATTTTTATTTTCTGTAAACACCGTTAGCATCGACAGCTTTAGCAATCAACCACCGCAGCTCTTACCTTGAGAAGTCTTCTCGGTCCCATTCCAGTTGTTGTTTCTCCTACCTTAATGAGTCCAGCAGATCCTCACTAAATTGTAGCAATTCTTTTTAATGTCCATCTTCCTTGTGCTGCCGATTCCTGAAGCAATTTCTGTCTCAGATGCTTCGGGAGTCCAGCACCCAAACAAAATGTTGCTGAGTCAGAGGTCGGGCCGTTTGTCCGCCGCGCTGCTTGGATCCGCTGAAATGCAAAAGTGCCTTCAATAACTTTATCAAGGAAAATATAAACAATTTAGAAAAATATAACTTGCAGATAAATAATCGCAGCAATCACAAATCACGAGAAATTACTTCTTCTTCTTGTGCTTAACGGCGATGGGCAGATCAATTATAATGGTACATTACCGCCACCATCTGGATTGACTTGTGAACAGCAATTTAGGATGGAAAAAATAAAGATAATTCAAACCCGCTCTGATGATAAGTTGCCTATCAACAAAGAAATCTCAGTTCTTTACGCAAGATTCGAATCAGTCCAGTGCTAGACCGGAGAGTCCTATCCAACTTTTCAGTTGTTTCAATATTATGTTATGGTATCAAATGCACTAAGGTCCAACAGAACCACCACTGTGGTTCTTCCACATCTGTACTTATGTAGATTAACTTCTTTTTTTTTTTTTTTTTTCAGTTTTTATTTTTGGTGGAGGGGTGGAGGGGGGATTCCCGGTTCGGTCATCTTCCTCAACTGTTTACCATCTCACCTTCATGTCTGAACTGATGAGTTGCTGTCCAGATGCATCGTTGGCCCGCGGTTGTCTCAGTTATGCTACCTGGCTGAGCAAAGGACTGAATAAAAAAACCTTGTTGTTCCTGAGACATATGGAACTCATTTTGGGGGTGTCATTTTTGAGAACTCTCCAAAAATAAACAGTCTCTGTTTTCACCTGTTTCCACTGAGAGAGCAGAAACATCCTGATCCATCAGCATCAGAACCTTCCACCTGCTGCAGCGACTCCAGACCCGTCTCTTCTTCTAACGGACTCTATTCAGCACCAGGACCAGACTCCATCTCTGTTCAATGGTACGGACAGGTGGACAAAACGTCTTCAGAGTCTGCTGATTTTTAACTGTTGTCATCAGTTTTTGTTCAGATGTGGTCCAAGAACTGCAACACTGGATTCACATTCCCGGTTTTTAATTTCACCAAAACGGCCGTTTTGGTGAAATGGGTCAACAACTGGATCATTCACTAGAGCAGAGCTGTACGTTTACAACCAGTGGAGATTCAGCTGTATTGATGCTTGCCTATACTCTAAATGTGCTACAGCTAACATGTTAGCACTCCATTATTAACTTAAGATGTTGACATGTCAATAGAAAAAGTTACTGTGAGACTTTTGAATCAGTGGCTATTGAGAATATTAAATCTCTTCTTTTCTAACTTTCTGTGTCAGCTAGTTATGCTGCATTGCTAACATTAACTTGTGAGTGAAAACCAACATGGTGGAGATTCAGTTTCAGCTGCATTGACACTTTATTCTCTATTCATCAAATGCGCTGCAGCTCGTGTTGCAGCTATTAGAATCTCCATCATTCTACAACTCTCAATAAGTTGCGACTTTTGTAATGTTCTAACAAGCTAGCTCTGCTAACAGTTTGTATGTACAAATGTAGCTTCACCTGTGTCCATTTCCTTTATATCCACCTCCACAGCTCTCTCTCCAGCTGCCTCTGTAAGTCTACTGCCAAGAGACGCTGCTGAGTTGTGAAACCCTTTAGCAACTACAGGGGTTGAGCTAATGGGGGATGCTACCCAGCAGGGGTGAGGTGCCATGTTGTCACCATAGCAGACTACTTTTGCTTTTTATGGTTGTATAAATAGCTTGTTTTTGCAATCTGTTAGTGTGTTTATGTCCTAAAATTAGGTCTCTGTTGATGTTTAGATTTTACTGTATATTTGTTAAGGAGATCTTCAACCACACAAGTATGACTACTCAACACCAGAAAATAGTACACTATATAAATGATGTGCTGTGGTGACGCAGGGATAGAGCACAACCCATGTATGGAGACCTTAATTGTTGGCACGGTCATCACAGGTTTGAGTCCTGGCCTGAAGCCTTTTACTGCATGTCTTTCCACTTTCCTGCGTGACCACTCTCAAATAAAAAAGCCATTAAAGCCAACAAAACCTTAAAAATAGAAAAATTTGAAACAACTTCCTGAATTTCACACAAAAAAAAGTATGCTAGGTGTGCAGTTTCTGAATTTCCTGAAAAAGAGTTAATGCTCTTTTTAAAACGGAAATGGAAACATGTTGGCTGAATAACACCTGACATAGCAAACACCCTCATCTACTGGTGGGTCTGTGCCTTACCAGAGGATCCGAACTCTTAAAAAATTTACATTCTGTGTTAATGAAATTTGTGGTCCATGATAGTTAGCAACCTCTTGTTTCTGTTTGCTCCAGCCACAAGTAGCATCAATATCTGATGAAATCCAACTAGCTTGGTTGATTTGCTCCAAACCAATAGATGGAAACAAGCCGAATTCTTTAATGAGACCAAAAATAAGTTTCTAGAAATGAAGCTTCATGTTCCATCCATTTTCTGCACACCCTTTTCCCAGTGGGGTCAGGAGAGCTTCATGTTCCATCTGGCCTAAAGCAAACAAAAAAAATGATGGTGGTGAAAGTGTGATGGTCTGGGGTTGCTGATGCTTCAGGACCAGATGACTCGTCTTACTCTGCCATAAAATCCCAAAGGAGACTTCCAGGTTTTCTCTTTCAGATATTAAGATGTTTCTTCTGAAAGGAGCAAATGTTTTTCCAGGAACTGAAAGTGAACGTCAAACTGAGAGGTGACTGTAGTTTTGAACCAGTTCTTAGTATCAATTTAAGCTAATTTAGACGTCCCTTGAAACGGGACGCTCGTGTCCTCACGATGTCCTGTTGTAATTGCGGCAGACAGCTCCATCTCCGGAGGACAAAAGCCCAGAGTGACGGGATGTGAGGAGCAGATAGTGGAGCGGAGATTGTGTTGCATGCCCGGTTGACAGCTACAGCAGCGCCTGGCATTCTACTCCATGATCAAATAATGAATCTGCCACGTTCTCAAACATCGATATGACTCCATCTCCTGGTGTTCATTAGAAGGTAAGGACTCGGCGGTGACGGAGGCGTTTACGGGCGGAGAGGGCAAGGGAGCCAACGTGACATGCTCAGGTATAATTATTATCACATAGTTCAAAGCGGATATTGGGAAGCAAAGGGACGGATAAGAACAGGAGCGTCAGACATGAAGGAATATTGAAATACTCACTGATGCGAAGTGTCTTTTGTCACTTTATCATTTCAGGGTCTCACTTCTGTTTGCCTTTTCCAATTATAAAGGTGTGACTGCTACATCCCCCAGCCCCCTTCTCCTCATATCATGTTAAACACGCTGAACTTCAGGAATAAAGAATCATTTTCTTTCTGTTCTTCAGGAACTGAAATAATTATCACTTAGAGATGTGGAAGCCTTTGCAGGCCTAATCTGATGTGAGCGGTGCAACTTTGCATTTCGCAGTAATGTTGATGGACATCGTTGGGATGCGGTGGCCAAACTGAACCAACACTGCCCTCTACTGGCTGGCCAACGGCTTGCACACCTCTGAAGTGTCCCTGCTGTCAGAAAATGGATTATGACAGTCTAATTTATTGCAATATCCATCTCTGTGACCCGGAGTTTCAACCTGACGTGGAGACGACAGGCAGCCGCGGTCACAGTCAATCTACTCAGCCCCTGAAAACCGTTCGGCTGCGACGCCAACCAAGGACTCCTCGCCACGTTTTTGTCAAAACTGATTCATCAGGGGTAATACAAGCAGAGCGAGAGAGCTGGAGGACTAATCACTATGGGATGTGGTAAATAAATTAGAAAAATAATCCGTAGTAACCAACGATCAATGAAGACTTCCATTTCTGTGTTTGACCGTTTGATTTTTACCTGAATCCTGACAGATGGTTGGAGGAGAAACTGCTTCTCGGTTTAATGTGATTTTATTGGATCAAAACAGGAACAGAACAAAATGAAACTATTTCTCTGGGCTCTCAAGCAGATTAGAGGAGAACCAAGCAGAAGGAGCTCATCAACTAGCAGGCTGGGTTGAAGGTGGACAGACTAGTTTAAGAGAAATATTGACATTGCTGTTTGAACTCATTTCAAAACCAAAAGTTATTACAGGAAATGTCTTTAAATAATTTCCTGTTTAGTTTTGTTGCTCTGTCATCCTCAACGTTATATTAACTTCCTGTTCTACTGCGACCTCCATTTCTGACGTTCTCTGTTTTGGTATTTTGAGTCATTCTGGTTTTGGATGATGATCTGAGTAGCGACAGGATAGTTTTAAGGTCCCCTTAGTTCTGCTCATCAACTTCCTTTTATTTATTTCCATATCACAAACAGAGGAACATGAGCTTGGAGAGAACAACTGATTATTCAGGTAGCAGCTTTACCAAGTTGTAACACAAATAAAGAGAACAAGAACAAATTCATTTGACAATTACAAGAAAGGTTTCCATAGAAACTGCCAGGAGTGATAGCTGGGTAGAAAACAGCCACTGGTTCTACACTTCGCCTCGTCCTGACAGTCCGGAGTTTTGAATACAGAGAAAAGTTTGCTTGCTGGACTGTTGAAAATTTGGATCTGATTTCATGTTTGACTGAGACATATGCAACGTACCAGCTTGACCGTGAAGGAAGCTACGGGAAATATGTGAACTGTAAACAACCATCCTCCACCCCGCGAAGACTTTTGCCAACTTTCTGGTCGAAAAGGACTGAACGACTTCCTTCACTTCATCCGCTACCCAGCGGATGAAGTGACTTGTAGTTTAAACTCGCTGTTTAAACTACAAGTCTAAAGCGCCGCAGAAGTTCACAAGTTCTCCTTCAGTTTGCTGGTTGGCCAGAAGGAAGATCTACCGAAGGAATTCGGGTCAGACGTTCAGCTACGCTGTTCCACTGGACATCAACAGCAAATCATAAATCAGGTTAGAGATTCAGTTTGGCAAACTAAAGCTGATATTACATTTTGACTGGAATTGTAGTCAGTTTGTGAGGAAAGAACTGAAGTCCAAGTGTTAAACATGGAGGTGTTTGTGTCACAGTCAACCAGAGTCAAAAGCAAACAGCAGCCTATTTCAATTAAACAGATGTAGACTGATATGAAGTAACAACTTCAAGTGTAAAGCAGAAGGCTTCTATTTGAGCTTCCAGGCATTTAGCTGTAGCTGTAATTTCATTTTTGTCCCAAAGAGTTTGTTGAAGAGGACACGCTCATCACAGCTCGGTCTCTGACGGGCCGGGGATGGTTTGGTCTGAGCGGACCCCCTGAACGCCGCGCCCCACCAGGATGAAGAGGAGTCCGGCCAGCAGGCAGAGGAAGCCAGCGGCGGGCGCCAGCAGGAAGGACGGGCCCTGCTGGACACTGAGCTGGTAGGACGGGCAGCCGGAGACGCTGCGCTGATGGGCGGCAAACTGCTCCAGGGTATCCAGCACCTGGACCCACACCAGGTACATCGCCATGACGACCAGCAGGCACATGCCTCAGAAACACAGGAAGACAACGACAATCATCAATAATGGCTTTTAATTCCCCCCCAGCTTCAAAAGAACCAAACAAAACCCAGACAACAGCAAAGCGAAGCGTCGCGACGTGACAGCGCCTTTTGTGTTTCGCAGCCGACAGAAGTCAGACGCGTCGTCGTTTCAGGAAGCTTCGCGTGTTCACAACCCCTGTTCGCAGCCGTCCCTCAGTTCAACGCCGTCTCGTGTCGCGCCTGTCGTGTTTTGTCACCGCGTCGCTTACGAGGCTCGCCGCGTCTGGGCTGGAAACCCGCAGCTGTTCCCGAGGCTCAGCGGGTAATGTTTTCCGCTCCGTCTCAAGAAGAAACAAGCCAGTTTGTACTATTATTAGTTGGAATCGTCGTGTTCAAAGCTGGTTTGTTTTTCTATTAAATGACAAAAAGAGTTGTTTGTGCGCAGACTGACATGAACTTGTTATATGTTTTTTTTGGCTGATCTTTGGCAGATGACGGAGTGGGAAGTTGTCCTTGAAGCGCTTCCACCGGATGCCTCGTTTTTTTTTTTGTTTTCTTTTACACAAAGCCTGCCTTCAAGCTCACTCCTTTAACTTATTTTATCGTCTTCTCCAGCAAATGTTGGGCCCAAAATATAATTGCCGTCTGTCATTTGGTTCCAGATTCGCAGATGATTCAACTGGAGGCGTTTCTGAGGCCTGTCTTTGGCTTCAGCCATTTACTCAAAGCAAACACCGGACACAAAAGGTTTTACGGGATCACATGCTTCTGTTATCACTTGATTATTTTTGGAGAGCAGCGAAATGGAAGCATTTCATCCAAAAGCACAGCATCTAAAAATACATATGGGATTTTTGGGGTCATTTTTCTCTTGGTTTGTTTGTTAGCAGATGAAGAAACTGGAATTTTGTCCTTTAAGAACGAAAGAAAAACTTATTTAACTCTAAAGAAACTTGTAATTAATTCATTTTTATAGGATAGTGTCACTTTTTTAAAAGCCCATCACATTAGCAATATCCTTTAGGAAATAAATTTTACTAAAACTTGACTTTGAATCTTAAGCAAGATATTTAATTTGCTTATATCGGGTCAGTACTTTGGTTTTCTAATTCAGCTCATTCAACTCCGTTCTCTTTTTAAACTCAAGATAGAAATCAAAGCTTGTGCTTGGAATAGTTTTACTCACAATTTTAGCTTTTTTTTATGGACTTTAAACACATTAATTTGGATCTTGAACAAGATACATTATTTTTGGATCATCAGCACAGACATCGGAGCTGTTGGTGAAGCCTCTACTACAGGGGTCCCCAAACTTTTTCCTGCGAGGGCCACATAGCTGTTCCTTTCTGTGGTCGGGGGCCGGTCTTAGTTTTTGCAGTAAAAAAAAACAAAGAAATTCTTGTCGACGGGGGGGGGGAGGAGACGACGACACTTTTGGATAGATTTTTACCCAGAATGCAAATGGAAAAAACCGTGAGTGAAACGGTGACTGACGAGTATATATTCCATTGAGGGAAAGTAAGTTTCACATTTGCTCAAAAGCCCCCTGGTGGTTGAAGAAAAATCCACATATAAACCAGAAAATACAACATATGAAAAAAAACACTGAATGCTCTCTGGTATGAGCAGGCGGGCCGGATCCGGCTTTGTTCAGGGGGCAGGACCAAATGACGTGGCGGGCCGGATCCGGCCCGCGGGCCGTAGTTTGGGGACCCCTGCTCTACTACATGCCATAAAAACACAGAGCATTTCATTTGTTACATTTTATTTTAGTCCCATCCTAAAGCTACATGTGTAGTTTATGTTTGGAGATGATTCCTCTAAAGCTTGAACTTAAAGCCTTTGTCCCAGATATGTTGGTTTTCCAAAAGCCTCCAACGCACCTCGAACTTCAGTTCAGTTTTGTCTAGAAATATTAATTTCTGTTTTCCATGAATGGACCCTTATGTCAGAATATCTCTATTTGATGACTGAAATAAAGAACTTTTTTTGATGATGCATCAGGTGGACACTGCTGATTGTTACCTCCACAGATCTGAAGAGCCCCGCCAGCGCTGTAGAGGCTACGATTGGTCAGAGGAGCAGCACACAGCACCAGGAGTCCACCAACGACGACAGCCGTGACGCCTGAGACAAGGAAGATGCTCCAGAAGGTTCTGAAGACTGAACAAACTGGTGATTTAGTGGGGGATTGTCAGAGTGGGTGCGCTCTGTGTGGTTGTACCAACCGATGGCGGAGGCAGGTTGGTACGGCTCTGAGGGGAAGCCGGTCCAGGCCGGGTGGGGTGCAGGAAACGGGAAGAGGAAGGCAGGCTGGCAGGTCTTTGACTCAGGCCGACTCGCTGAGGAAGGAGAAAAGCAGCTTTAAACTGATATAATGACACTGTTTTATGCTTTTTTTTTATTTTTTTAAATCTACTAAGCATAATGGGGGTTCTCACTAATCCAGAAGTCCAGGACAGAGAAATCAGAGGAGGCAGCGGTGAAAAAACAGCGCCAGAACAGACCCTGGTGGAACATCGTCACCCCGTCCTCAGGCTGACAGAGACAAAAACTTTAATGTCCTGACAGATAAACACCGACTCCTGCTGCACACATAATCACTTTACTGTGGGACATTCCTACCCAACAGGAGCCGCTTAGTAGTTTTCTGTTTCCCAGAAAACTCTGTAGGAAACGTCTACACCCAACCAATAAGATCAGGAAGTCTCATACAGAGTCATGGTGTGACCAGACGCCATATTTGATGAGTAAACTGTCAAAACCAGGACAAATATACAGATTCTCTTCTGCTTCAGTTACATAATAAAAACTGCTTCAGATGAAGACTTCACTCTATATTCAATAAATTAAAATAGACATCTCAATAAATATAGCTTATCAGATTAAAATACCTTTCGAAAATAACCTTTAAGAAGGAAATAAACACATTTCAGTAAACCCATTTCAGTTTTTAAAAATAGTTTTCTATTGTTCTGATGTGATATTCAAATTTTAAATGAGTTTTGAGAAGCTTTAATTTGAAAAATCATAACTCATTGAAATAAAGGCTTTCACACATCTGAATAAACGTATATAATAACTTGACTTTTTAATAATATTCTAATTTAGTGAATGCGTCTGCATGTACCGTAGAACCCTGGTATTAGTGAGTATGGCGGCCCATATTACTCACGTCCGGCGGGGCTTTGAGGCCCCAGCAAGACCCTGTTGACCACCATGAATAGGTGAAATACTTAATACCTCCTCTAAAAACTCTATTTTAATTTTCCAAATACCAAATTTATCTTAATATGCACTAATACCGACAGTGGAAACCGCTTTAGCGCGAGCACATAAGCGAATTTCTACAATCTGAGGGCTCAGCCAATCAGCACCAAGGAAACTAAACGGTGCTCCGTCATTCAGCTTCCTAACCTGCTGAATCATAAATACGTGAATATTCCTAAATTATTTCTCAATTAATTGGAGTGCCATTCCATTTATTTATTTTTTCTAAATAGCTGTTTTTAAGCTTGTGAAATTTTTAACATTTCTTCCTGACGTCAAGAGAACACCCAGCCTGAAGAACTGGTGGGATTTATCAATCTCGATGTTGCAACAGTTGGTTCTTTACGGCTCTCATTAAGAATGTCTTTCCACTATTATGTTGCCACACCTGTAAGTTATAGTTTATTATGTTTAGCCTTTCAAATGTATTTTTATTCTAATTATTTGTCATCTGTTCCAAGAACACAGCAGTGATTCTTTGATTTGATGCAGGTGTTCAGGGTTTACATTGTTTTAGTTTACGTACCTTTGGCTGTAATGGCTCGAAAGAGTTTTCACAGTTTACCTTTAAGGTGTTCCTCTTCCTGTCGCCCTCCTCTCGGGTCCGGCTGCAGGACTCGGCGGCCAGCAGCCAGTACTCCGTCCCGCAGCAGAGCAGCGTGAACAACGCTCCAGATGCTCCGGAGAACAAGGCCAGGAAGAGGAGCACCTTCATCCTGTCTGCAGCAGACATGGCGCCCTCTGCTGGTGTCTATTTGCTCCGTACCTTCAGGTCTTTCAGTTCTAGAGACTTTCACTGTGAATCAGGAGTTTAACGCCCAGGCATGGCGTCGTCCTACAGGAATAGAGCAGTTTTCTGGTTCCTACGGACCAGCCGAGGCAGGAAGAGGTCCGGTTACACTCCAGGAATAGAAGAGCAGGAATAGACAGACACAGTCACAGCTAGAAACACCTGCTTAGCATTTATTACATTTATAAATCCAGATTTTGTACAGAACCAGGCTGTCCAGAATGACAGACAGAGGCAATAGAAACAGTCGTTAATTTATTCATCCAGCTGCTTCCTCCTCTACCTGCTGATCAATGCTAACAAACAAGATGCACACTGCTGAGTATCTGATTATCTTTCAACCAGACAAATAAAAACAAGCTTCAGGCGTTTTTGCAAAGTGTTCCCATGACAACCCAGAGATGCTATGGCCCGTTCAGAGAGAGGGGGATTAATGACCACCCTGTGAAGAGAAGTGAAACATTTAACCAGAACTTCTGGTTCCTGTGATGTTCAGGAAGTCTGTTTGGTCCGTCTCGCTGCGTTCCAATCCGTCACTGTGTTGTACAAACACTTCTTCTGGTCCGTCCTGAACTAGGACATGACCCCAAACACGGGGTTGTGGCGGCAGATGCTCGGCCCGATCTCCTCGTAGTCCTTCTTGGTGTGGCACACCTGGTAGAACTCGGGCTGTAGAGACAAACCTCAGGTTAGCTCTCCTGACAATTAGATGCCAACAATGTTGAGAGGAGGGGAATACTCACGGTGGACGCCAGCATGGACCCTCCGAACCACACGGCGTACCTCTGCATGTGATGGGTGACGACCTGGACGTCAATGGGCTTCGGCTGTGACCCAAACAGACCCGTGTCATTAAAACGTACATAGTAAGAGAATGAAACGCTGACGGCTTACCTTCAGCTTCCCGCCGCTGAGTTCCTCACTGATCTTCAGCCGGGCGTCCACCGTTCTCTTCAGGTCCCTCTGCAGGCGCCGGCCAAAGTCCCTGAACATGGTGGAGCCTCCGGACAGAACCACGTTCTGCAGGACAAACAACGCATGAATCAACACCGTCTGTTTGGGTCTAGTGGTGTCTATGGTGGTCCACCGTGGTCTATGGTTGTCTAAAAGGGTCTGAACTGTCTCTACCTTGTAGAGAGGACGTCGGACGTCGATGGGGCAGTTCTGGATGACCTCGTCAACCACCTCCGAGATGGGCTGAGTGAAGTCTGGGTTGGCGAACTGGATCAAAGAGAGAACTCTGTTAACTCATTGTTTCGGGCCAGAGAGCTCCATCCGGATGTATTCTGGAGGCACCTCTGGGTGGAAGAAGATCTCTGGCCCCAGGAAGCGCTCGTAGCCCACGTCGATGGTAAACTCCTTCTTAGTGATGGCGTTGACACCTGTGTACTGCTTGATCCACTTGGAGCCATCTGTGTCGTACTTGCTGAACTCCTTGACCAGGTCGGGGCAGACATAGCTGAACCGCTCCTATTGGGAGAACAGGTCAAACATTTTCACATTGCTGTGCTGCCCTCTGGTGGTTGAGCAGATGAACAGAGAGGTACGGACCTTAACAGCTTTGGCCGTCTCCAGCGACTGCTCCGGGGGAATGCCCACCTCCCTCTCCCTCAGCAGCTGCTGGGTGAAGTAGGTGATGTCTCGACCGGCGATGGGGATGTGCTTAATGCAGCTGCCAATCACGTAGCCTTCAGCCTGGGGGAAGGTGACACCAATGTGGCTGAGGCACACAGGAAGGAGGTGGTAGAAAGAAAGGAAGTGACACCTACCACCGGGATGACGTGCGTCACACCATCTCCACTGTCGATCACAGTTCCCGTCAGCGTCCGCTCGCCAACCTGCCGGGACGTCCAGGAGGCGGCCAGCGCCAGGACAGCCTGCACCAAGGGGTTAACCAGTACTGGGTTATTAACCAAACACCAGGATTATTAATACACACAATGGTTTTATTAACCAACACAAGGTTACCAACGAACACACTGGTGTTATTAATACACACAGAGAAATAAGTAACTTTTTAATAGAGGAACTGAGAGTCAGAGCTTCCTGGAGGAACTTCCTCTTCCTCTCTGAGAACCAGACCAGATCTAAAGTCAGACGGGTCTGAGGTGTTGGTCGTACCTGGACGGCGATGTAGAGACCCGGGACGTTGAAGGATTCGAACATGATCTCAGCCGTGTACTCCCTGTTCTCAGGAGTGTTGAGCGGCGGCTCTGTCTGCACACAGAACCAGAACTCATCATTAGCACGAATGTTCCCGTTCCGTCCTCCAGTCACCTCCGTCTTTCGGTCCGTACCAGCAGGAAGTAGTGGTCCTCCGGCTCCGCCCGCAGGTACTTGAAGATGACCTGCTCCATGAAGCGCTCCATCAGGTCCCAGTCCTCCACAATGCCGTGACGGATGGGCCACTGCGAGAGAAAGAGGCGTCAACACCACAGCTGACCCCTGGCCCTGACTGCTGCTTCAGCGCCGACTCACCTTTGTTGCGTACGAAGGTTTGTCGATGGCTTCGTCTCCGATGTAGAAGTCCAGATCGTCAACGCCCTTCATCATCCTGCGCTGCGCCTGGTCTCCCACCTTAGCAGACTCTTTGATCGCAATACCTGCAGCAGAAACCAGCAGACTGTCAGCAGGATGACATCATCATCATCATCATCATCAGAGCAGAGAGATGTGGCTTCCTGTTCTCACATGACGGGATGATGAACTGTGGCTCTGTGTTTCCTGCATATCCAAGCTTTGTGTACCTGGAGAAGATCCAAACAACAGAACTTTCAATAAGAGTTCAAGTTTGGTTGCTTGGAAAAATGCTCAATAGATCTGTTCACTACAGGACAACTCAAACATAGATTTGGATTAGAAAATATCAGAAAATAAAGTGAATTAAAAAAGACTAAATATTTACAACTAAAATAATTAAAGTTAATAAATGAAATTGCAATACAAGTAAAAATTTGTATTGTAAAGTTAATTTTAGTTTATTTTTTAAAAAGGTATAAAACAAATGTAAAAAAAATACATTCAATAAGTGCTCAAATAAATTAAATCATAAGCTAAAAAAATAATAACTATAAAATTCAACACATAATTTAAACATAAAATTTAAAAAAGTGCAATAAAAAAATTAACAGTAAAAATCTAATTCATAAAACAAAGCAATGGATAAAGTGAAAAGCTAATTACTAAATGCAATACATGTACTGAAAAATGTATGTATAGCAGATAAGAAATATTAATATACAACCACAATAAGTCACAGAAAAACCTAGAAGGAAAACTAAAATAAACAAATAATAAACGATGTAAAAACAACCTGGCAATCATTGAAACTTGATAAAATATAAATTACATCAGTATAATAAATAGAAAGTTTTCACAATGTAAACTAAATGTACTTTATAATAATAATAAAAATGATGATGATAATGATAATAAATTGTGTTGCTGCCTGGAGGTCAGCCAGGTCTGGGTGTGATCAGCCCAGGTAGGAACTGCTGTCTGAGGGGTGGACTCTCCAGGAAGTGGCTTTAGCTCCAGCAGCTAGCAGCGGCTAATCACCACTTCCAGCCCCTCAAACGGACCGAACCGAGCCGCTGGACGGTTAGGGCCGCTTCCTAGGGTCCACCAACTCCATGCAGGCCGGCTGGATGGAGCTTACCGGGGGAGAGGGACGCGGCGGAACCCCGGACAGCGGCTTCCAGGGCGTTAGCTGGAAGTTTGACAGGGGCTTCAATAGAATCAAGCGGGCAGCCTTACTCACCCGGTACCGCAGTCAACAACACAAGCCGGGAGCCGACCTGCCATGGTTCCGCTCCGCTTCACGACCCAAACGCGAAGATACCGACCCCAAGGAGAGGCTAGGAGGGGCTGGAGAGGCGAGTTTCGACCGCAGCAGCCTGAATGAAGAGCCGCCGAGTCGGAAACACTTCCGGATTCCGTGGCAGCAGCTTCTAATGCAAAGTCAGCAGCTCGATGGTGGAAACAGCGCCCTCAGCTGGACCGAGCTGGCACTGCAACCAGCATGTATCAAGGCTTTAGGAAAGTTACAGTATTTCAAATACATGATTCTGGAACATTTGATAACGCATAAAATATAGTTTGACACAAAAGTTAACATATTTTGTAAAAATATTTAAATCCTTCTCAATGTTCTCTGAATATTTTTCTTCAGATTAATATTCAAAACTACTTTTTTTGTCCAAAAGTAAAGTTAAATATTGTTGTCTCACCACCTGCAGCTGATCTGGCTCATAAAATGCCATAAAGGAAAAATGGTATGTATTCCTATGTGGGCCGCGAATTTGATTAAAAACAAACTACTCGTAGTGTAAAAATGTGTTTATTATAACTATCACTTTGAGATTTATGAATGGCAGCCATATTAGATTTTGAGGTAACCTTTCTGAAAGAATCCTTTCATTTTTCAAGTTGGAATTTTCGACTTCATGAGGCGTTCCTGTCATTTTCTGGACTTAAAACTCAGAAACTCCACCAACCTCGACTAGACCACAGTGTTATTTAAAACCGTATGAGTGGTGATCAAATTCACAAGAATTCAACAAATATGCAGCCAGTTTATTAAAACTTTTTTCAATGTGTGCCTTTCTCAGTCAGACATGTCTGACATCAAAGGTGCAAAAGTCTGGAAATAGTTTACTACTGTGTAAATTTAAAGTCACAAAAACCCTAACATTTTTTTTTAAAGGAATCAGTAGAATATTAAGAATAAAAACACTAGAAAATTCCTGAAGAAATTTCACCAGGGTCTGCCAAAGTGTGCCCGTCAGCTTGGACCCAGCATTCTGATGCAAAAAATTAGCATCAATGCAAAAGAAAGCTGCAATGTACTCTATAGCATGTGGAGAGTCTCAAGCATGTTGAATAACATGGACTTATCCCATTCTGTATGTTCGAATTAGTGTATAAGCTAAAATTAGCCAAAGTGCTAATGTTAGCCTAAATGCTGGCAGTAGCATGTGCAACATCACTAACATGTTGTTTTAATTTGACTTGCTCCATTCAGTGTACTAAACATGTCTAATAAATAAGGAAATTAGTTAATAGCTAACTTTAG